GGGTTTGGGAGAACATGGAATGTGTGCCGGAGCCCCCGGGCTGGAAGGGGGTTTGTGCCCCGCTGTGTGAGCAGGAGGGAAGAGAGGGAGTGTTTGGTGCTGAACGAGGCAGTGCCAGGAGATGGAGGTTCCTCCACTGCAACCCCTGCTCTCATCCAGCCTTTCAGGAGCAGCTGCTGGAGCTGGAAAGGAAAGTCCTGACGTGCAGATCAATGGAGCTGCTTTTTTCCACTTCCTTTTCCTTTTGTTTTCCTTTTCATTTTTCTTTTCCTTTTTCTTCCTCTTATTCGTATTTATATTTTTTCCTTTTCCTTTTGTAATTTTCTTTTTTCTTCCTCTTCCACTTATTTTTATTTCCTTTCCCTTTTTTATTTTCCTTTTTCCTTTTCTCTTTTTCTTTCTCTTTTCCTTTTCCTTTTTCTCTCTCTTGTCCTTATTTTTATTTTTCCTCTTCCCTTTTTAATTTTTCTTTTCCTTTTTCTTATTTTTTCCTTTCTGTTTTTTATTTTCCTTTTTCTTTCTCTTCTTTTTCTTCTTATGTTTCTTTTTTCTTTCAGTTTTTAATTTTCTTTTCCCCTTTTCTTCCTCTTCTTCTTATTTTTACTTTTTCATTTTCCCCTTTAAATTTCCTTTTTCCTTTATCTATTTCTTGCTCTTCTTATAATTTTTATTTTTCCTTTCCCTTTCTTTTAATTTTCTTTTCCTTTTTTGTCTTCCTCTTATTTTTATTTTTACTTTCTCCTTTTTATTTTCCTTTTTCCTCTCTTTTCCTTTCTCTTGTTCTTATTTTTATTTTTTTCCTTTTTAATTTTCCTTTTTTCTTTGTCTTCCTCTTATTTTTATTTTTCCTTTTTCCTTTTTTCTTTTTTTTTATACTTTTCCTTTCTTCTTATTTTTCTTTTCCTTTTCCTTTTTCTTCCTCTTCTTTTTATTTTTCTTTTCCCCTTTTTTCCTGTATTTTCTCCCTCTTCTTATTTTTTTCCTTTTCCCTTTTTGCTTTTTCCTTTTCCCCTTTTCTATTTCTTCTTAATTTCCTTTTGCTTTTCCTTTTCCCTTTTTTTCTCTTTTCTTTTCCTTTTCCTTTTCCTTTTCCTTTTCTTTTCCTTTTCCTGTTTCTCTTTCTTTTCCATCCTCTTCTTTTTTTTTCTCTTTTTTCCTCTTCCCCCCTCTAATTTTTATTTTTCCCTTTCCTTTTCCCTTTTCTTCTTCTCCTTCCTTTTCTTTTTTCCTCAAGAACAAGTCATTAATTTTTACCCTTCCCTGACCATCCTGGCTTCCAGAACTTCCAGAAACTCTCCCAAAATTCCCGGCTCTGACTGCCCAGCCCAGCAACAGCCCCACCATGAGACCAGAGCTGGGGAGAACCATAAACCCAACCAAAGCCTGGCTTAAGCAGGGCAGAGCTGACCTTCCCCTCCTGCCTGGAGGAGAACAGCTGTGGGCTCTGGGGCTGTTCCCATGGAATGTTCCACCAGGACAATAATCCATGACAGGGAGCACAGGAGGAG